AAACGCCTTAGAAAGAAAGGAAAGGAAAAGACAGAAAGAGAAACGCACAGGACAAGAGGGAAAGATAGGTGTAGTTACGAGGCCCACTACTTGCCCGCCCCCTGGCTAGCTAGGCTGAGCTAAGTCTAACTTAGACTTATAAGTACTTATAAGTATGTAGCTTTGACTTAGCTTGGACTTAGCTAAGACAAACTTAGCTTGGACTTAGCTTGGACTTAGCTTAGACTTAGCTTGGACTTAGCATGGACTTATAAGTCCAAGCTAAGTCTAAGCTAAGTTACAATATTTTATTTTTTAAAAATATTATTTTTTAAATTTGTATAAACGATCACATGTAAACAAAAATGCAACGGCAAAGCCGCGAGGCAGCAACACGTTTCTTTTGGTCACCTTCCCTTTGAAGTCTATCAACAGTCGTCATCAGACCAATTATGGCACATGCCAAATACTGGCTCAAGCATCACTGGGCTTCTTTGCTCATTTAGCATGGCAGCCCAAATCTCTTCAGATTCTTCATCGTAGACCAAGGGCTCTGCCGGGGACCCTTCCTTGGCCAGGGTTGTTAGAGGCGACGTTCCAAGCTTGTGGTTCTTCGTCTTTCTCTCCAGCACGCCCTTCTCATTGTTGTCCGCTTCCTTGTCTGCGACCCGCTCTGTGCTTGCCACCGGCGCGGGCTTCACTTCTATGTCCTTCACTGCACCGTCGGCCGCGCGCTTGGCCATGGCGTGTGCAGAGACGGGTCTGGAAGCAGTTTGCTAGAGCACACTGAGCGTGTGTCGTGTTCGCCTGCGCGCGAAAAGAGAAAGCGGCGTGGCCGCAGAAAAGGTGAAGTGCGTGCCCTCTTTTTTTTTACTTCCCATGGTGGTAGTCTAGAGTCAGCGTGTCTTCGCCTTCCGTCTTCCAGGCGATGCACAGAGGAAATGGCCTTTCTAAGGGAAGGAGCATGGCCACGCTTGGCTTTTGCCAAACGTCCACGTATCCCACGCGCTTGCGCCAGGCGCCGGCCAAAACAAGGACGAAAAAGTTTTCGTCTTTCTGCACACAAGCCTGCACCAGGCACAGATGACCACTCTTCCGGCGCATTTGGCCTGCGACCACCTGTTCCTGTGTCGTGGAGGCCCAGTGCATCTTTAAACTCAGGAGGTCGCCATGAGAGCTCTGTACAGGAGGCTCTAAGTGCGTCTGCCAAGCCGAAGGGCGGTCGTCTATCTGTTCGAACAAAGCCCTGCGGAGTAAGCTCTGCTCGAGGCCGACGTGACCGCTTCCAGCAGCGTCCAACATTGCCTTGAGCGGCTTTCCCTTGCGCTCTGTGACGAAGCAATCCAGCATGCACTTGTCGCGCAAAATCTGTCCTGGTATATGAAGGATAAAGTGATGGTTCGGGAGCAGATGCTCGTCGCCGTATGCGTGTGTATGCGCTGCCATGTGCTTTGCCAGAGCAGACTGCAATGTAGAAGCCACTGGCTCGAAGTTTTCTGGCTCCAGTTTCGCTCGCTGCAGGGCCGAAATCACTTCCCACATTGCAAAGAAAGACTGCTCCTCAGGACCGGGGGCCGATCGAAGGCACCAAAGAACAACCAAAGGGAACAAAGTCAGCAGCTCGGAAGCGGAGCCCTTGTACGCACAATCCCAAGTTTTCTCTCGTCCCACAGTCAACTGTCGAAGAATGACCCGCTGAAGATCGGTCTGCCAGGACCACTCCTGACAAAAGGAGCGCCACTTTTGGAAAATGTCTTTGTGACTTCGAAGACAATGTTTGTACATCAGGAACATCTCCACCGAGCCTGTACCGCTCTGATAGCAGGAGTGCATGGAGTCATAGGTCCACACAGATGTGATGCTCACCAAAGGACGCAGTCGTGGCTGAAATATCAAAGCGTGAGCATTGTACGTGAGACCTCTGGTTTTTTCCATTTTCTTGAGGTTCGCAACAGAAGAGTGCGCAGCGGCTTCGATCAATTCATCTGCCCAGCGGTGTAAGTCAGACTCGCCCAGGCGACCCCAGCGGGCCGGGTCCGTCTCGCTGAAACTATAGCACCCTGAAACAGTCCAGCGCTTGCCGATGATCGATCCACATAGGGCACACGGTTTCATCCCGTTGTGACCTTTTGTGGAAAATGCATTGCGGAGAGCGGGGGCGTCAGCTAAGAAGTTCTTGATGCGTAGTTGACACCGCCACCATGCGTCCTTGTGGTATAGAATCAGAGGCTCCGATACCAGTCGCTCAATCACCCTCGCCATGAGACCGCTGGCACCACCTGTGTGGGCCATAGCGAGCTTATGGCGACAGCAAAAGACTGGCAACCACATTTTCTCGCACGAAAGATGTGGCCCAAGGATCAGGAAAGCAATATAACAGACGCTGACCTTGCGTCGGGGGTCCGGCGCCACCACATTGCCCCCTGTGATCTCGTCCTCGAACAACACGATGTCTAAAGAGTCTTTGTTTGCCAAGAACCGGCAAATCTGCTCCCAGCTGGGACATCTATGAGACAAAAATCTCATAGCCCTGCCCGGATCGGCAAAGTATAGGTCATATGTTTGCTCTTCATCACAGGAGGTCGTAAATTGTTCGAAGACCCAATCTGTGGGAGCTTCTAAATCCTTTTGTAATTTTTTTCGTTCTCCGCGCACATTCTCCGGCAGCCCTTTCAGTATTGCAGCTGCTTTGGCCAAATCGGTCAAATTGTTTCGGATCTTGAAGAGGGCTTCGCTCTCCCTTTTTCGTTTGCTACCTGCAAACATGGCTGTGCAAATGCCACGTCTGTGAAAAATACAAAATGATGTCACAAATTCTTGAGCCATTAATATTATTAAAAAATAACAATTTAAAAACATGTTTAAAAACAATAAAAACGGCTGAGCCGAATAGAAACTAAACAGTGCTTTCAACAAGCACCGAATCAAAAAGAAAAGGAAACGGTAATGCCGAAGAGACTCTATTATTATTCTTTTTCCATATTGCTTTCACAAATTTGGTGCGAGTTAATTAAGATGGAAAAGGATCACTGTAAAGGCGTATTCACACCGTGTACCTTTTCCAAAACATTCAAGCTATGTTGGATGACCTCAGACAGCTCTGCTGCATTGTAGCGGAGCTTGGGCTGAGCTTCCTGCGCGCGGATCTGGTCCATAAGCACATGGTTGTAGTAGAGTATTTTCGAATCCATAGAGACAATGGCCGCCACGGCCTCTTCTCGTAGCGGGTCAACTGGCGAATTGTCATCTTCCTGCCATGTGTCAACCAAGTACTGCATAAGTTTTCGTCTCAATGGCATCAATGCCTCCCGACTGCCCCGGCTCAATTCAACCTCCCATGCCACATGTGGTGGTAGCTCGAAGTTTTCGAACTCTTCGACAGCAACCATGCGCGGATCTCGAAAGAACAGGGCAGGTAGGCTACGATAACGACCGATGTTTTGTTTCTTTGCCGTGTCGTGGACCACACAGTCGCCATCTTTGATTCCATACAGACCACGCATGTGGACAATAGAAAATCCAACAGGAAACAATCAAGCTTGTGCCAAAACAATCTGAGGTAAGAAAAAATACCAAAAAACAAAAACATAAATGAATCGGCAATGCCGAAGATTTACTGATTTCTATTTCAGGTAAATGATGCCTGAAGGAAAATGTCAATTGGTTTATGTATTTGTGTTACAAAAATGCAAGTACGGTTCATCCCATTTTTTCTCGCAGCCAAACGCGCTTCGCAGTGAACTCCGGGTCTAGCTCTCGGCCTCAGACTTGTCGACTTCGATGGCCGCCTGGGATGCCGTTTCGAGGCCGGCTTCGAAGACGGTAGTCGTGTCCTTCATCTCTTCAAACAAGGTCTTCAACGCCATGTTGGTTTCTTCGTTGGGTGTGCTTTCCTCCAGGACGGACAACTTCTCGGTCCATTCATCCATCTTGTTGTTGAATTTGCTCTCGGCCTCCGAAATCTTGTCCACAAGGTCCTGGAGCTTGCCACTCTTCTTGACTTTTGCTCGTACCTTCTTTGAGCCTCCCATAGCTTTCTGTCCTTTCTCCATTTGTGTTTTCACGCTTTTGCACAGCGTCTTCACTGCCTTCTTCCAGTCCACCTTGACAGGTGTGGTGGCATCAGTCTCATTGGAATTGGGCAATGCTTTGGCCTTTTTGGCATCCAAAGATCTGGCAACCTGGTGATCATGAGTATGCCCTTCAGTCTTTTGACTCTTCTTTTCGATGAAGTGATACTCCTTTTGACCACGTTGCGCCCAAATTGGATTGGGATGATCTCTTTGTTCATACCTATTCAACTCGGCCACCAGCAACTCATCATCGTCTGGCAAGGAGGTCATGCCCAACATGGTCTTCATCTGAAAAATGTTGAGCCACTGATCGGTTTCAGTGTCCCGGGTGCTGGATGAAGATTTCTCTGTGCTTGTAACACCTGAATTGTTTTTTTGTTTGGATTTTTTTTATATATGTATTTATTTTTTGTGTGTATTAGAACAAACAAACTAAATAAAGCCAGGATGCTGGTGAGCCAGCTGCACTTATGGTCTTCAGCAAACTTGTTGATAAATTCTTCACGGCTGGAAGCTGACGAGTTCATCATGGCCAGTGCTTTCTCAGCTTCATCGGCTTGATCTCCACCTTTCTTTTTCA